CATATTAGATTAACTCTTCCCAAAAGACAAACCATTTCATAAGTCATAGGTTTAAGCCACATGCCAAATGTCACAGAGGCAAATCCATCAAATATAAAACAAATTCAACTATACATATATACATATATATATACATATATACACACACACATATATATATATATATATATATATATATACATACTGTATATATACACATATATACATACATATATATACACATACATATATATATCAGCCTGCATCATCAGTTAACAAGAGGTCCAGGCGATCACAAAGTCCACCCCAATGTTCCTGTGTTTAGGTGTGCAGTGCCGCCGTGTATTACCTGCTCAGTCTTCCGTGTGATGAGATTTCCAATAGTCTTGCTGAAGAAAGATGCCAGTAGAGGGTTTAGAGGGGAGGACTGCTCCAGGAAGGCATAGAGACTTTCCAGCAGATATTCCTCATTACCTAGCTTATCATTGATCAGACCCACATCACACGTCAGCAGCTCACACGCTATATTTGAATACCTATATGGATGTACGAAAACACGCTGGGCAGTACAATGTAAAGCATTATTCAGTAATAAATACAGCAGACATGTTATTTGTTTGCAATGTGGTTCGCTAGAGTGGAATATCTACAATAGAAACAGAAGGTATTTCTTTCAAGCAAAAACACTTGACTGTGAACTAGTATGTGTGCTAAACAATTATCGTAACATTTTACAGGACAGGACAGGAATGTCTGAAAGCATTAGGAACAAGAGGCACCAAGGAACAGCACGGCATGAACAAGGAACACAATTAAAATAGTGAATAACAGCATAAACAAGGAACACAATTAAAATAGTGAATGACACATTACCTCTGATTAATTGATTTGCAAGTTTTGGATGGTTTGTTTGTTTGTTGTTGCATCAGAGGCAGGTGGAGAGTATGGATGGAAATCCATATTCAAAACAATTTAGTTATCGATATTACTTATTGATTTGATTCCTTATCAATTGCCTGTTTTGAGGCTCCCATGTTGCCAGTCTTCAGAGAAGATGCAAAGGGGAGAACAACTTGCAGCTGGGCCACCTTAAATACCCTTTCTCATGATTGGCTTCACCTGTGTATGTAGGTCAAGGGTCAATGTGCTTACCAACCAAATTTTGTGTTCCAATAATTAGTGCTAAAGGTATTCAAATTAATAAAACAACAAGGGTGTCCAAATGTATGCACCTGCCTACTTTTGTTTAAGTAATTATTGCACACTTTCTGTTAATCCTATAAACTTAATTTCACTTCTTAAATATCACTGTGTTTGTTTGCTATATGATATATTTAATTGAAATTGCTGTTCCGAACAATCAATGATACAGGAAGGAAAATCTTGAAAATGATCAGGGTGCCCAAACTTTTTCATACCACTGTATATACTCAGAATTCAACTAGCCGACTTTGAAGTGAAATGGGAAAAATGGATAATATGTAAAACCCAGAACAGTGACACCAGTTAAGATTTGAATATATTCTGTTAAAATGACAATTCACTTCAAAAATTAATGTATCCTTCCTGATTGACACTGTTTGGTTGTTCTGTTCTGTAGTAGTTTTGCAGATTTGTTTGGTTTGTTATTGAAAAAAAACCAATGAATAATAAAACTTTGAGTGAAAAAAAAAAGATAAATTGCCTTGTACGAGTGCCTTCAAGATTCATCCAGAGGAGAGAAATTAAATGTTAAGTATTTAAGAGAAACGTCCTGGTTATGTGTAAGGTTAAGGTGTGTTACCGGAATTAACCAGCAGGTGGGTCCGTGTGAAATCAAGATTGATAAACGCTGTCGAGAAGAAAACGTACAACTTCCGGTAAAAGGATGAGGAAAATAAGATGTGGTTTCTGGAACAATAAGGTTCTAGTCCTAGTTCATGGTTCACAAGACGATGCATTGTCATTTATCGATGAAAATATTAGTTCCTTCTCTCATAAATAACGCTTAGTACTGAATACGAGTAGGTAAACCGCGTTAGCCACTAGCTAATTGTTTTTGTGCTTTACAACTTTTTTTTTGATAATGTCATCAATGGTGCGCCTGTAAATGTTCTAGAGTTTTTCTTGTATTTTGTTGTAACCCAGGTGTTGTTTTTTGTATCGGGTTTTTATCAAGCATATTTAGTCTTAAGTCGCTTACGAATGACGTTAATACATTTATTTATACGTGATAAAGCAACCATCACCTACTTGAAGCGTTTGGTCTCATCAACACCAGTAGGGGGCTCTGTAGTAATCATATACACCAGCTCTTTCATGCACTCATCTTGGCTTAGGAACAGGAGAAGTCTACAAATCCAGAATATGGAAAAATGAGTCGTTAGCGCCAAAAGGACTGACTGAAAAGTTAAATAATTGTATTCTACTGATACACCAAAGTTATTAGAAAAAAACACACACCTCCTGTTCTGAGCTTTACACTCCTGCAGCACATCTTCCTCATCCATCAGCTCAGTTAGCGTGGTATCATCTTTGTCCAGTAAAGCCTCTAGATGGGAAGATGTGTGCAAGTCGAACTTCCAAAACATAGCTGATGGCACAAACGTTCTCTTTCTGAATGAAATGTGTTTGCACATAGATTAGCCTCATCTTACCCGTTTCCACAACAACTCATTTTTGTGATATATATATATACGTACTTACTTTGGGATAAGGAGGTGCCCCACTTGTAGGAGGTTGTTAAACAGCAATTAATCAGCATTTGAGGAAATTCTAAACCAAAAATACAGACACCTGCGTTACTCACACTAACAAAGACACACAAAACAGAGAGGTATATATGTTTTAGGAATACACATTCCTTGAAGGCAGATGATGAGCTAATGTGCATGTACAAAAACGTGTAGCGACAAGGCATTGCTCTGTATAAGACTTGAATTAATGAGTGCAGTCTAATAATAACCTGTCTTAAAAACAGTACATATGTCTTTGAGAGACATCTCTCATGTCTTTCAGAGATATTTACATTATGCCCATCTGCACAGCAACAACAACAAATCTTGTACATTATGTCCATCTGCACAGCAACAACAACAAATCTTAATTCTAATTGTGTTAGTCACGTTCCCTGCAATAAACTTAATACAAACAACAACGTTGCAGGTTATCTGGCAAAAAAACTACAACATATTGGTGTAGTCCTTAGCGGTTAAGTAGAGGGCAATTGTATTGTCTTGAGTTCTTAAAGACATTATGCCTCTCCTCCAAGAGGCATTCTCAGTTCTTCAGGAAATCTATGATGACCAGGGTCAAGGTGAGAATGGGGAGGTTTGATTCCCATGTTCCTTCCGAAAACCTACAATCTACCTGTCCTCTGCTTAACTTCTTGCAATAAAATCACCTAAATGATGGTGAACGTACAAAGGTATGGATGCAGTGTTTTATTTTCTTACACTTTAAAAGATTGGCCAATTTATTGTAAACAGTTGTACTACGTTATGTACAATTAACCACTCCTTCTACGCAAGGGAAGATAAAACTGCTTCTTAGTGCATGTCAATCAGGTGACTTCTCTCCTTTACTCGAATACGTAAGATTGTTTGACAGTGCAGATACCCGGCCTTTATCGTCTATTGATGGACATTGTGGTGTTAGCAACTTATAACGTCCTATGAAACATATCACAGTGTAGCTGCGTGATAAGAATATCAACACCACAGCGGCGTTCCCAGTGAATTTAATATTATCTCATATGACTAACCTTATGAGTGTCATCGGTGTTTGTCACTGCTCTCCCAGCTAGCAATGTCTCCGTCATGCTGCTAACGTTACGGACGTGTTTCGGAGCAGCATCGGTAGAAAACGTCGTTAACGTGGGGTTGTTCATTGCGGCTGTGAAACAGAGTGAGATCCTCTCCTCTCACAGATACAGTTAGTGATTGGTCAGACCGTGCCGACGCTTTGGCGCGTGTGTGCAGAAATCCCGGAAGTGTTTTTGTTAAATGATTTACAAAATATTTTAAATGTGCAATATAATTACGACATTTATTCGTATAAAATCACTTACAGGTACAGGAGGGGAAAAAAAGGAAGAGGAAGAAAATAAGAAAGATAAAACAAAATACTAGTTTATTGCTGCGGGTTAAAATATTTTCAATGAGCAATATAATTAAGACATTTATTCGTATAAACTCGCATCCAGGTACAGGAGGGGGAAAAGGAAGAGGATGAAAACAAGAAAGATAAAAAAAATACCAGTTTATTGCTGCGGGTCAGGGTTCATTTAAATACATTGAAAGCAGAACACGTTTCAGTACGTTGAAGAGCTTCGACGTTTTTAGAATATTTGGTCGAAATAATGCATTATATGAATTCGTTATTAAAAGCAGTAAAACATGACTTTTTGTCGGATTTTTGAAAGTCGGTAGCGTTTATCTGTCAAAGTTGTTTATAATCAAGACATTAAACAAAAACCAAGCTCTGTGAGATGGACAGAAGGCTGCAAAAAAGAAAAAGAAAAACAAACAAATATTTGGAAACCTTCACATTCACTTCCTTTCTGAGCATTTGTTATTACATATTTGGACATTTTTTACTTGGCGTTGAAGCATAGAAGAATTTATATAAATATAACCCTTTTTTCCCTTTTTGTATGTTCATATTTTCCTTAAATAAAATATTGTTTTTTAGAAAAGAAAACACATTTACTCTGTAAAATAAAGGTTACATAAATAATGTCTGTCTAATAGACAGAGCCACAAAGGCTGAGCTGGAGGTTACAAAAGTGAAGAGTTTACCAAAGAGTTTCTCTTTGTGTCCAGCAAAAATAGCATAGCATAGTTATATGTTTTCTCTTTTGCTTGAACCGTCACTGCGATGAGATAAGAAATAAAGAAAAAGGTAGCAAACTAAAGGAAAAAAGAGATATACTGACGGATATGTGTCATGGATCCTTAATAATGTGATCATAAGGTTTCAAATCAGGAGTATTATTTGCAGCTGCAAGGGTATGTTCTATTTGGCTGCTGTTTTAATTGTCAGATTTATGGATTGGATCGAAAATGACTCCCTTCAAAACTAGGGCTTGAAATATTTTGACATTATTTAATCTAGTCTAATAGTATTATGTAGCTTTTTTTTAACTCTTTCTTTTCAAATGAACAACAAACAAAAATAAATAACCATAGCAGCAATTGAAGAGGTAAATGTGTTTGGCAACCAAAGCTTTTCAAAGGGGGTTTAGTGGGTACTGCCTGGCAACCTTGCCTTTAAGCCACGGAAATAGACTCTTCTGCTACTTCCCAGCTCAGTTTGCGCAGAACGTCTTTTTTGTGCTAGCCGGCTAGTACCATGGCCAACGTTGCGGATACCAAGCTTTACGACATCCTCGGAGTTTCGCCGTCTGCCTCAGAAAATGAACTGAAAAAGGTGCTTATCTTTGAGAAACAAATGAAGTTACCATAGAACCAAAAACAAAGGGAAAATAAAGGTATTTATGGATGTGTGGCCTAGAAACAAGCTGCTCGGCGAGATAGCGGAGCGGTTGAGCTTGGCTAAGCTAAGCATTGTAATGTGGAAGTATTGAGCGGCTCGATGTGTGAAAGACACAAAAATGGCTGTTGTTTTTCCTATATTAAACGTAATTATATTGTCGATACGCGTATTCAAAAATAAAACGATGTATCATCGATTTTTGTTTTATTGAAATCCAGTGCTCTGCGGAGCATAATCGTGTTAGCATACCGGCTACAAGATGATATACCCCAGCAAATAGCCTGCGCCAAGTTTGTCAGTAACAAGTTATAAATGTCAGTGAAGCAGCTCGTGTAGAAGCGTGTGTCTGTTAAAGTAAGTCGCTATAACACATTTATGCTTAAGGTCTGAAACGATAGAACTACGATAAAGAAAGATAAACCTGTTTTGATATTTTTTTCTCTTATTGAGCTCCAGTGGAATAATTGCTTATGACATTCGATCATATTTTTTAAACATAACGGTGATAATACAATTTATTTTTCTAAATTTACCAGATTATCCAGATGTTCAGTGTTAAATGCGATCGAAGGTACAAAAACTGTCGTTTCCGCTTGAAAACAACACAATGGTTGTAAAGGACATTCTTCTAAAGATTCTTCTAAAGAAATGTATTAAACAGTGTTATTGATGAGCATTTTATGTTCTTTTCAATTATTTGTTTAACAGAGCTTTTGTATATATTTTTTCTAAATAAATACAGTTGAGAAACAAACTTAAATTTATTTGAGATAATAATTTAATTGTAGCGTTATTTGGAAGTGTATTTAAAACATGAACGGTATTTTTTAAAATAAGGAAACTGCTTCATAAAAACTGTCACTGATATGTATTCCCCGTCTTTTATAATTAATAACCATAGAAGACGATGACTTTACTCGATTTCTATGGTGTTATAATGTAAGCTGCTGGATTTCTATGCAAACTGGACTTTTAACAGATGATTGTTACAGCTGGTGGGCAAAAATGGACAGACATATTGGAGTGCCTTAGATGTCAAAAACAGCCCTGGCTGGTGGCCTGATGGTTTTGACAACACACCCTTAAGTCACGCATAGTGCTAGTGTGGACATCTGACAGGGCGGGAGATTTTTTCGTAAACATCTTGGATCAAATTTTTTTCTTTTTATTACAGGCGTACCGCAAACTGGCCAAAGAGTACCATCCTGACAAAAATCCAGAGGCCGGCGACAAGGTATGATGCATGACACTTAAGCAGCATAATTATATTATACCTGCATTACAGGTTTGAAGCAATCGCAATTGAGAAACAATTTGTCTACTGTACACATGCACACTCAAGTATATATACTTGAGTGTGCATATATTTATATATATATATATATATTTATATATATTTATATATATATTTATATATATATTTACATATATAATTATATATATATTTTTATATATATATATTTACATATATATATTTATATATATATATACAAAGTATATATAATGTGTAAACAGTAGAGTAACATACAGGATTAGAATAATACTAGTTTATTTAACTAGTTATTGACCTCAAATACATGCCGTATACCAACACTAAACCAAGAAAAAAACTGTACAATGTACAATTACATTTTATCTGGGATTGACTTTTCAGTTTGTTTAGTCCACATTTTGTCATTTCTTTTTTTTTTTTTTTTTTTTTTTCAGTTTAAGGTTTTAAGCTTTGCATATGAAGTACTGACAAACCCAGAGAAAAAGGAGCTGTATGATCGCTATGGAGAACAGGGGCTGCGGGAGGGAGGAGGCGGCGGACCCGGTATGGATGATATTTTTTCCCATATTTTCGGTGGAGGACTCTTTGGTTTTATGGGGGGACAGGGAAGAGGACGCAATGGAGGTAGAAGAAGAGGCGAAGACATGGTTCACCCTCTGAAGTAAGTATTCTTAGCTTATACGGCCTTTGGTTGCCCGCTCAAAATGGTGCATTTTGAAACTTAAAAACCTCCTTGTTGCACAGAGTTTCCCTTGAAGACCTTTACAATGGTAAAACTACCAAGCTGCAACTTAGTAAGAATGTGCTCTGCGGGGCGTGCAACGGGTGAGTCCACATTTAATGTTTGAATTATTCGCAAAACGTCCTTTGCTTTGCTGGAAATTCCTAGTGTTTTGTTTGCCTTCAAGTCAAGGGGGTAAGGCGGGAGCGGTGCAGAAGTGCGTGGCATGTCGAGGACGGGGCATGAGAATCGTGATTAGACAACTGGCTCCCGGGATGGTCCAACAGATGCAGTCTGTCTGTACAGACTGCAATGGAGAGGGTAACAGGTTCCCGTGACATTGAAAACACAACGTAAAACACGTACAGTAAAGTCCAAGAGCGACATTCTAAAGCTGCCAACCTTAATGCACGTGTGCAGGTGAGGTGATAAATGAGAAGGACCGCTGCAGAAAGTGTGAGGGTCATAAAGTGTGCAAGGAGACAAAGCTCCTGGAGGTGCACGTGGACAAGGGCATGAGACATGGACAGAAGATCACATTCACTGGAGAAGCTGACCAGGCGCCAGGTGTTGAACCGGGAGACATTGTCCTTGTGCTGCAAGAGAAAGAACATGAGGTTGTCTAATTTTGTAAACTGGAATGATTTTTTTTTTTTTTTTTTTTTTTTTTATTTTTTTTTGCGCAGTTATGTTTAGCATTTTAACATTATTAAGCAGATATAAATAAGCATACAGTGGAACCTTGGTTTTTTTTTTTTTAAAGGTCGTTCGTGAACGGAAAAGTTCGAAAACAATTTTCCCATAGGAATCAATGTAAAATGGATGAATCCATTACTGGACGCCGGGTGACCAATTATTCATTAGATCTAACAAAAAAGATTTTGGGCAATTTATGGTTAAGAATTGTTCGAAAAGGGAGGCGTTCGACAACCGAGTTTCCACTGTATTGGTATGTTTACTTGCTATTAGAAGATTATCTGTTGCAGGTAGTTTGTGTATATAATATTATAATTATACAATGAATTATTCTAAATATTTTTTTTTTCTAAATCAGGAATTCCGTCGTGATGGCAGTGACCTTCACATGGTCCAACGCATTGGCCTGGTTGAGGCTCTTTGTGGCTTTCAGATGACTGTCACACACCTGGACCAACGTCAGCTACTTGTCAAATACCCTCCTGGCAAGATCATTGAGCCAGGTAAACACACTGTTCACACGTTCATTAGTTACAAAATATCAAAGTTTGGTTTTGAGGTGATATGTCGTTACTCAAAAAATCTCCTGATTTTTTTTTTTTTTTTTTTTTAAGTTTAAAAATATATAAAGCCCTACTTTGGTTTTTAAATATATATAGGCCTACTTTGGTTTTTTATTGCAGTAAAGTAGTGCAAGTAGCTAGCAATAACAAAATCTCATAGGTTTCGATACACGGTTTGGTTTGGTGAAATTTTGTTTAAAATGTGGTGATGGTGATAAATGGAATTTGATTTGCGCAGGTTACACACAGGAGTCACTTAAGTGAAGTGTTTCACTTGACTCCTCTAAATCGGGAATGATGACCACATTTATTTTAAATGAAAAGTTTAATTAAAACGCATAGTGACATTATTACTGCTTAATAATGTAAACGTCATAAGTAGCGTATTATATATTTTTTTCTACTGTTTTTATTTATTTATTTTTTTTTGGAAGATGCAAATCAACTGTGTGAATAAAAATAACATCGACCACATAGGCCTGAAATTGTGAACTGAAATGGATTAACTGTGTAGAGTGTAGAAGGTAGAAGGTATTTTAACAACAACAATGCATTTGGTTTTTGGTACTTTTTTTTTTCCCCCCTGATGATATCGGGAGGAAAGTACCAAGTGCTAATGGTCTTCAGAACACACCCGTTGTTTTTACGATTTTAGATTAGCCCATCCCACAGACAGAGAGATTGACAAATGTAGTAGCATTTTACAAAAATAAAGGAGAAAAAAAAAAAAAAAAAGGTCCAATGAAAAGTTTGTAAGAAACAGTTTGCGTATCACAGCTTGACTACAAACATGGCACATACTGTACAAACGGTAAGCTAACCTGTCTGCATCAGGTCGCTTCGTCCATTTTGACGTACTCTGTCAGATAACACCCTGACATCGCTGAATGTTACTGAGGTGTTAGTTTCACCGTTAACGACATGTCGTACAAAGTTAAAGCTGAGCGTTTAGGCTTAGATATCAACTCAGATGGGCTATAGTTGTGTTTTTTTTTTTTTTTTTTTAACCCATGTTTGATCCTGAAATTCGGACTAATCAGACCATTACCAATTCTCGACTATTGGATCGAGCCATTCCTATTGTGTATGTATTCCAAATCTGTTCATTTTTATTGCATGTATGGAACAATGGAGGACATACTTATTATTGACTCTGACTCCAGAATTATTTCCTTAGTAAAACATACTGGTTGTACAAGTATGGTTTCTCACGTAGCTGTCGATCATCAATTGACGATAACGAGATATATCCCAAATACATTTAACATCAAAAACATCAGAGAGCCTACATGTATCAAAGGAATCTTTAATTCAGCATATTGGGTTTTTTTTTTTTTTTTTTTTTT